AGGGACCTCCAAGCCTATCTTTGCTTTCACCCAAACAAGCCTCTGACACTGTGTGTGTGTGTGTGTGTGTGTGTGTGTGTGTGTGTGTGTGTGTGTTGGTGCGCTGTGCGCTCAGGTTTTATCTTGTGGGTGCCGCTCCAATGGAGGAGAGCACAAGTGGGTAGACGTGTGTGCCTAGCCTGGGCATGCAGCTCTGGTGCCTGTGCACACAGGCCCACCCTCCCACAGGCCCAGGCAGTGGGTAGCAAAGTATAAATGTTATGTCTGAGAGGAGGTGTCAAGCAGCAGGAGGCCTCTGCCCCGAAATAAAAGCTGGGTATGAGAGCTTCTTTTACTTACTAGGCCTACCCAAACACACTCCTGGCCCTGGCAAGAACTCCCCTTCCGGCAACCCTGTGGATCTGTGAGCCTTCACCTCCACCCCAGCCCTAAATACATGGCAAAAAGTGGGGGTGGGGTGTGTTGGTGAACTTCTACCTTAAACCCAGGACAACTCCCTGGGCATAGATGTATTTACAAAACGGTGACAGAAGAGAAGCGAGGAGAGAAGTCTAAGTGGCAGGAATTGAGGATTCCCCAGGGTGAGCTTGTAGGAAAGGAACCTGGAAACCCTCTCTGCTCCAGCCCTACTCTATCCTCCCCACTAGTGGATCCCTTAGTAGGTGGGACTCCCAGAGGTGACTGCACCTGGGGCTAGAGGTTGTGTGTATGGGGAGGGGAATGGGTCAGAGACCTGTGAGGGTCCAGGGAGGGTCTTCGTCGCTGGCCTGGCTGCCTCTCCCGACAAGCTGTCTACAAAGAATGTAATTCATGGCGGTCGATGGGTTCTTTGATTAGTTCAATCACCTGAATAATCGTTTAATCAATAAAGCATTTCATTCCTCAGTGAGGAGGGCTTGGGTGGGGCTGGGGGGACTTGGGCTGGGCTGAGTTTAAAAATCTGGAGAGCCACACCCCCTTCTTCACCTTAGGGTTGGGATAAGGGTGCCCGCCTGGGAAAAGGTGGACATCTCAGATGACACTGCACTTCTGCTTGTCTGCCCCAGCCTGGGCCTTGGCTGGTGAAGAGGAGACAGCTGAGAAGCTGGTCAGGTTGGGAGCATTCAGGTTTGGTTTTTGGATTTTTGCGTGGGCTCCTCCCCTCTCCAACTTCATTTAAGGGCTCTTATGGGCCACCTGACCTCCTTTTCCTTCCTTCAGAGCTCTAATAATTCCTTCTCTTGACCTCAGTTTCTCCATCTGTGCAATGGGGAGGTAGTATATACCCTTCAAGCTCTAAACCCCACATGGGGTAAAGTTGGCCCTGAGCAGACAGCCACTTAAGGATCCTTTATCCTTTTGTCTAGCTTTTACATTGTGGCACCAAAAAGGAAAAACTGAGCTCCAGAGGGGGAAGAGACTTGTCTAAGATAATACAGCATAAGGTTTGAAGGAACTAGGACAGGAAGGTGACTAGTCTACCCTTAGACCTCTCCCACTTGCTGGGAAAGGAGATAGTGCCCCACCCCGGATGGACCCCCTTGGAGAAAAACTACTATGGGGCAAGCTAGTTGAGGTGGGAGTTAAGAGGTCCCAAAACCAGGGAGACCAGGATAGGTTGAATAGCTAGCTGTCTGGCTGGGTATTGACATCCAAACCCCCAGCTCTGGAATGAGCCTGGTGGAATGATAACAATATTCTTTACCCATAGATCTTCACCTTGCAGAACTTTGGGAGGCCTCATCTCAGTTCTTCTCCCCGTTAGATACATAAGGAAGCTGAGTCCTGAGGAGGTCCCCCAGCCTGAAAGCTTTAGGAGAGAGAATGGTAGCCCCAGAGCCCCTGGTCTTCAGTGCGTTGGTAATGATAGCATACCCTGACTGGACAGTTTACACATTTCTTGAAAAATCTGGTTAAATCCTCCCCTTCCACTCGTTTCAATGATGCCTGCAAAAAGACTTAGGCCAGGCAGAGCAGACTCTTGATCAAGGCACATCAATCACGTTGAAATCGTTTCTGCCCCAGACTAGCTAAGTAACCTCCCTTCAGTTGTTTTCTCTGATGCTTTTAAAGGAGGGTTAGAGAGGACCCGCCCAGTTAGGACAGCAACGACCACAGGGCCTCTCTTGACTTCCCCGAACTGAGCAACCAATCTGAGCCCTTCTACGCCTTGCTTTGCCTGAAGCAAGAGGGGGTAAATGAGTGGGACTTGAGCTTCAGGAGTTGATCACAGGCCCACAGAGCTCTGAAGCAGCCCCATCCCTCTGACCCAGTGCCTCTGGGCACCGGAGAGGCTGGTATGGAGAAAGGGAGGCAGGGGAAGGGAGTGTGTTCCCAGGGAAGCCAGGTTTGTGGTTGAAGACCATGGTGATGTTCCTCTAAAGGTGTTTTGGTTTCTTGAACCTTATTCTCAATGGGCTTTCTTTTAATAGCAAAACTTTCAAAGGCAATTTTATTTACATGAATTGAGTTTCTTCCCAGATGTTTTCCTTTCCCTATGCTCCTGCCTCATCTCTTAATGTTAAGAATTCCCTGGAGGCTGACAGCTCAGGAGGTCATGAATAGCTCCCCACTCAGAGAAAAAACCTATGCCCTGTGCACCCCATGGTGGGGAAGGGTGCTGCTCTTGCCACACAGGTTAGGCATCCCAATATCTTGAAGCCCACCACCTTCTATATGAAGTGGGAAGCTGAGATACTCCTATTGGGGTAATATGCACAGTTCCATCCAACTCTGGCAGTGCTCTGGGGATTCTGTCCAAGCCACACAGGTACCAGAAGGAAAACTGGTTTTGTGTGGGCATATCCTAGCTGGGTTCTTCGACTGGAAGCATACTCCACTGCCCCTAAGCCCAGCCATCCAGACAGTGGTGCTGGAGGGGTCCTTTTGAGAAAGAGGTTCCCAGCCATCAGCATTTCCTCTACCCAGGACTTGATATAAGACCTTGGACAAGTTGCATCCTGCCTCAGCCTCAGGTTCTGCATCTGTAAAATGGGGAAAACATAGCCTCAGGGTCCTTTTAGCTCTAGACTTTAGAATCTGAGTTTTGAGGCCTGAACTCAACGAATGGGACCAGTGGTGGGTGTGTCACCGGCTGTGTCCCTAAGGGCATCCCCTTACTCCTGCCTCTCCAGTAGGAATACAGAGCCACTAGGTTGAATTCTAGTCACCTCCGATCCATCTTGGGCCACCAGGTGGAGTGAATGTGGGAACACTAACTCATCCTGGTTCCTCTCTGATGTTTCGATCTTCCTGCTCCAAGGGGAGGTGGAGGGGCATGCAAAGATCCTGACAGGCAAGGTTCAGGACAAAGAAGAGATAACTGCAGCCACCCCTCCCTAGTGCGCACTGCTGTCTCCTGGGCCCCCAGAGGCCCACCCAGGCCATTTTCTGCAGCTGTGCCCTGGAGGGGGTGGGGATGATGTCAGCGCCGGAAACTTATCTACCGGTCAGGGGCAGCTGGGTCTGAGACAGGAACAGAAGGCGGGCCTGAGAGCCTACCTAGTGTAGGCGTATAAGAAATGGGGCAGAGGTAGAGATGGGAGACTGAAGCAGCAAAGAATGACCACAGCATTCTCTCAGGGTCAACCTGTGTTCAGTTCTTGCAAGCCCAGGTCTGAAGCAGGCATCTCAGAGCCCTTATTTTGGTAGATTTATGTATAATATTAGAGGATCATCATTTAAGAATTCAAAAGGGTGGGTTTTGGGACCACTCCCACGAACTGCTGGGGCAGGAGAGTCTTTAGTATCTTTGCTAGCGCCTTGTTAGATGTAGGCACACACAGAACTACTGCCACCTGGGTGTAGAATGACTATCACAAGCTTCCTTTTAAAAGTCCAGTTCCTTTAATTGTGGTTCCAGGGCCTCACACCCTTGAGAAACTGAGACTGGCTGGTCAAAGACAACCGCCCTTCTGGACATGAAGAGTTCTAGAAATCCACCCATTTTGTCTTAAAAGAAACAAGAACTTCCAAGGCAGGAGAAGGAAGGTAGGGTTTTCTCTACAGCTGAAAGCTGCAACGTGGTCTCTCTCCAAGAACCATTAGCACTGGTTCTTGCAGATAGAATATTGCCAGCCCACCCAACCACTTCTGGAACCCTCCTTAGCACTAGACATGACTGGTTCATTCAGTTCCTAAGAGGCAGTGCACCAGAGGCAGAATTGCTCCTGCCAACAGAAGCCTTCATCTCCTCTCATCAATAGCCCCAAAGGGTCCCTCGGCTCCTGGTTTTGAGGCTGGAAAGAGGGGCTGAGGGCTCCGTGCTTGGACAATCTGGTCCAAAGCCTCAAAGTAGTCCCCTCTCCTGGAGCACCCTGACTATTAACTTTAAAGGAGTGTGAGATTTCTTTACTGTCAAAGTCTCTGCCTTTCGGTTAGTGCAGAATTTGGGGCCCTGCGGGGAAAGTGAAGGAGGAGTAGTCGAAAAAGGATTAGTAGGCGCTTGATAAAATTATGAAATATTAGAAGGAGCCTTCATTAAAGATTAGGTAAGCCAACTCTGCCCATTTTATAGGTGAGGAAACTGGGGTCAAAACGCGACTGGGTATGCGCTCATTACAAGACCATCGCGGTTCTGAGGGTCGTTAGATTGAGAGCTGAGCTCGTCCTCCTTCAATATCCGCTTGTGCGCGTGTTTTCCGAAGACTAGTTTCCCACCCTCACCCCACCACCCCTGCCTCGGCTGCCCTTAATCCCTCAGGGCGTCCCAGGGTCTCAACGCTGCGAAGAGGAGGCCAGGCTCACGCGGGAACTGCCGCGGGACTCTCCGGGCACTGTGTATCCCCCTCCCCCTCTCCACGCTCCACTAGGCCTTAGCCGCACGCGTTTGTCAATGAACGTGGCGCCGCCGCCTGGGCCCCGCCCTCCATTCTCTCCCATTGCCCAGGTATCGGCTAATCAGGCGGAGCCCGCCGGTTGCTCAGCCAATAGGGAGGTGTTTCGGGCCAGCGCTGGCTGCCACCGTCCTGATTGGCTTGATGAAGCGTGATTGGCAGGTTAGCCCCCGCCCCCCGCCCCCGCCCGAGGGAGGCTGAGCCCCGGGCGGCGCTGTCCACACGCAGCGGGTCCTGAAAGCGGCTCCGGGGCGGCGCGGTGGCGCACTGTGCGCGCCGAGCAGGCGGAGAGCTAGCGCCTGCGGCCGCTGCACAACAGTCAAAGCCGACAACGGCTTCATCTCAGCAGTCCCCGAGGCCTTGGTGGAAGGGACCTTTTGCTCTTTCCTGCGTCCCTCGCTCCACGCCTGAGGCAGGCGTGGTGGCCGTCCCGGAAGAGGCAACTGAAAGACAGTCGAACTAGATCCCCGAGAGAGGACAGCGGGGCTCGAAGAGTTGGTGGGCGTGAGGCATATACTCAGGCGAGGAGGTGACCGTCGGTGTTGTCCCCATTCCTGTGCCAGCGATGGGGGAGCAGCGGGGACCGCGGGAACTTTGAAGGCAGCGGGTCCGCGGATGTGAGGGCGGCAAGCAATCTGGGACTCAGGAGTCTCGGCCCCGACGTCAGTGGCGGAAGCGTCTCCGAACCCTCCGGGGCCCCCAGCGCAGCCAGAGAGGAAGTTCTTTTGCAACTTCGTCCGAGACGTCGGAAAGCTGGGTAGAGAGAAGCTGAGGCGGCAGTCCTCAGAGAGGACTGTCTGAGGCAGCAAATCTGAGCCCCAGAGACTCAGAAAGGAAGAGAGAGAAAGGATCCTGTGGGGACTGAGAGGTCGAGGAGAGACTCCAGAGGCAGCGAGGCCGCCGAAGTAGCTTGGCAGTCCGCGGGCCTCGCTGCCCCCTGAGTGAAGCTAAGGGCTGTGTGTCCCACGCAGGCCTCCTCAAAGCAGCTCCTAGCGGAGGCCGGGGATTCCTAGCCATCCCGGAAGTGGGTGCCTACGCTATGCTCCCGAAGCTGCGGGCCCCTTGGCCGCAGCTATCCTGGACCAGGTCCGGAGTCGCCGCCTGAGCCAGCCCTGGAGGGAAGCCACTGGGAGTTGGGCGTCCCGCTTCCATCCGTACTGCACTAGCGCTGTTTCCCGCCTCTAGGCGCAGCTCTCCGAGATCTCCGGCAAGGCGGCTCTGAGAGGCCCCAAAGCTTCACCAGTGTTTTCTGAGCCCAGCTCGAACAGTGCCCGGCCTGGCGGCGCGGCTCCCTAGCTGCTCTGGGCAGCGCCTTGGCGCCGGGAGGCGGCGGCGCGGGCCGGCCTGCAGTCTGGAGCGCCCCGATGGAAATACACTGTAAGCACGACCCGTTTGCATCCATGCATAGTAAGTAGGCGGCGAGCTCGTTTCTCTCACTCTACGGCCGGGACGGGGTTGGGGGTGCCGGACCGCGGGGCAGGTACTAAGGCCAGGAGAACCCAGGACTTTTGTAGCCGTGCAGTCAAATTTGCAAAGTGCTGGCAGAGGATGTAGAATAACGCGCCTGGTCGCTGGGGCCAGACCACCTGGCACTGGGAATCCCGCCTCCAGCAACGCGTACTGTAGGCAGCGAGCTGAGCCTTTCAGGGGCTCTGGCAGCGACATCTCAGCATGGCGGGAGAATTCTGGCTCGAGCCTGGAGAGGTCTCTGGGCCGGCCTAGTAGGAGGGCACGAAGTTGTAGGGAGAGGTCAGTCTGAGTCTCAAACAGTGCCCCACACGCCGATGGCGCCTTTTTCAGCGGTGTGGCTGATCAAGACTGGGACTTGGAGGGAGAGTGGGGCCCCGATCAGTGCCTGAGTGCTTGTATGTGTGGAGGAAGAGGTCGGGAGACAAGTGAGGACACCAGCTCTAGAGCTCTAAAGGCTTTCTGGAGTTCAGGAGTGGAATCTGAAAAATCAACGAAGTAGTGGTCCGTGAGCTGAGCTTCTGCTTACAAGCCGCCAGTTCATACAGAAACTCTTAAAGACACCAAGCCCTTCTCTGCAGGACGGTTGCTTCATGATGGCTTCTCCCCCCAAAAAAATAAATAAATAAAAATCAAGAAGAAGAAAACCAATTAGTCACCATATAGGCGCCCCCGCCTTGTGAAAGGAGCCGCGTGTGTTGGAGACGGGAAGGGTCATTTTGGGTGTGGGTGAGGCCGGCCAACTGCCAGACCCGCTGGGACCTGCCAGTTCACCCTTTAGCACAGCCTTCTGTGAGATGAGCGCTACTCTCACGGTGAGTTAACGCCGGATTAGATTCAGAGATTTCAGGGAAATTCCAAGTGGAACAAATCGTGTATTCCCTTTTGCGTGTTGTGGAGCTGGGCAGGAGCAAGGTGCCAGGCTTTGGCGGCATCCAGCCTGGTGCCCAGCTTGGGTCCCCAGGGGCCTCACATCAGGGAGTTGCTCTCTGCCTGGGAGCCCTCCCCAAGACAGGTTCTCTTAGACAACCTTAGACTGTTTACTCAGCCATAGGTCCCCTATATAACAAAGGCAGCAGAGACCCCGATGGAGAGAAGGCGAGCTTCCTCTGGCGAAAATACGCTTTTCTGCCCCAGAGGGCCTAGGGGCTTGGTAGGTAGGAAAATGCTGACCCAGGCGGCAGGGTTTGGCTGCAGGCAGGTCAGTTTCTCTTTGTGTTAATTTTCCAAGTCCGTGATAATCCGCCAAAACGGTAGGGAGATTTGCGCGGTGAAGCCGCTTGCTCGGGTCCCAACCCAAACGATTCCTTACCATTTGGGGCCTGTGTCAAAACGGTTTTCAATTCATGGTGACCCCAGAGCCCCTGGCAGCCGTCTTTTGCACCGACCTGAGCCTGTATGGGGGAGGGTCTGCTCCTGCAGAGTGAGTCAGAAAACAAACGAGTGAGGGTCAATACTCTGAGAGGTGGGTAAGCCTTTAGCTGAACCAAGGAGCAGCTGAGGGACAAAATGAGGAGGGCTAGCCCCTGCACTGCTCTCCTCCCTGGTGGGAATCCTCAGACTCTCACTGCATCCTTCTGCGCAGAGTCCTGCGTTCCAGAGGTTGTGCCTGGGCCCTTGGCGAAGTAGCATCATACCCCGTGTTCTCCTGGCTGTGCATGAGGGCGAAGGTAGCTCCTTCCAGGTGTTAGTAGTAAACCGCTAATGACTATGTCTCTGTCTTTCCTGGTCCGGCTTTCATCTGCCCCCACCTCGAGATGTGCTCCCTCCTCCCATTTTCAATCTTCCAGGCAGCAGCTCAGTGGAGGCTGGGTCCCAGCCAGCCTAGCTTCCAGAGATGGCTTCTCTGGAAGTGCCCCTGGTTCTGACACCCAAAGCTATGTGCTTTTACAATATAGGCCTTCTCTGGGGTCCCAATTTGTTGGCGATTTGTGGGGGTGTGCAGTAGATCTGAGAGGTGGCTGGGGTAGTAGAAGCTCAGACCAAATCCCACCTCTTCTTCTTCCTTCCTGGCCCCTGTCAGTTTCTTCCCAATAACCTCTCCCCCTTTTGGAGCAGTCTAGCATCTGTAGGGGAGGTGGCAAGGGGGGAGGGTCAGGCACTGCTGGGAAATGGGCTTCTGAGTTCTTCACCCAACCCGCATTCCAGACTCATCATTTTCATCAGCACAACGGCCTCTCACCGCCCTCCCTATATGTTTACCTCCCCCAGGTATGGTTACCAGCCCCAAAGCACATTTATAGTCGGTTCCTACCTGAGCATATCTAAACCTTCAGCTACCCCCATTTCACAGAGTATGATGTTGAGGTCAGACAGACAAAAGGACTGACAGGAATTTCACATAGGCACAGTTGGACATGGTTCTTGGGTTTTAGAGCATACAGGGAAGGGGAGAGGGAGGGACTCAGGTTCCAGAGTGGGAAGTGGACTGGCTGGGTGGGTACACACATGTGCAAGGCACCTTCTCTGTCTGGATTAACTGTATCTGTTGGCCTAACTGTCCATGTGTGTCAGCACCTGTCTATCAGTTAGAGTCCATCAAGATTTCATCCCTGCTCTTTTCCTGTGTTGTATGTCTGTGTGTCCCTGTATTCATTCTCTCCAGTGTCACTAAGAGGATTTCAATGACCCTGTGGGTCCTGGAGTTCATTCAGTATGCGACTGAATCAGCAGAGACCCTTTCCCCAAGACCCTATTCCTAGTCATGGTCTTTGGTGTGGACAGGGCCCCTAGCGGGCATTCTGACCCTATTGGGGCCTAAGAAACATCTGTGGAGGTCAGCCCTTCCAGATCAGAGCCACAAAGGCCCCCCAGGGGCATCTGCAATTCAACTCTTTTCCCCCCAATACCCTCCTGCAAACTTGGCTCTGTCTACCCTGTGGGGCAGGGCTGTGTTTCTCTTATATCAATCTGTCTGTTGCCTGGTCTTTGCCTTGATTCTTTTGCATCTGTCTCTGTGTCAGTCTCTCTGTAAATTCTACTTGGCCCTGAGGAAGTGTGGCTGAGTGTGTCTCTCCCCAGCATCTCTCACGGGATGAGCCATCACCCAGCTGGAGCCCACAGGAAGTAGAGGCTGGGACTTGCGTTCTCTCAGGAGATGCAGGGCTGGAGTTGGGGTCACAGAAAACAAAGGGACCCCTCCCAGAAGTTCCCTGTCCTCCAAATGCCCCCTTATTGAGCTTCCTCCATTTTCTGTTCTGGTCTCTTGCCTCCCACTGTACCATATTGACCTTCCTTTCCTTCGCCTGTCCTGGCTGGTCCTTTCCTTTTTCTCCTCTGCCTTTCTAAGTGGAGGCTCCCCTTGCAGGCTCTCTCCTTGCCGTCTGTCTCATTTTCTTCCGTCTCTTTGCACTCATACCCTCAAAACCTCACTTTTCCTCTTTTGTTTCCACATCTTGCCTCCTCTTAGGCTTCAGGTTCACTTCTTTCTAATTTCAGGGTAAGTGGGAGGCACTGCCTTCCCAGACCACAGTTGTAAATCACCTGCCCACCTGCAGTGCTCTATTGGATAGGACTATGACTGAGGCAGAAAAGGCCAAGTGGGTTTGGGGACCTTTCCAGAAAGTTAGGGGCTCTCAGGTCATCCCTGAGTCTGGTGTCAGCTATGGACTTACAGGTCAGACTCTGGAAAAGCATTGGTAGCCTAGTCTTTGTGGTCAAGAGTAGAGGGTTTGTGGACTTGCTGTCACCTAGTTTCCAACACTTGAGGGTTTTTTCCGTGATACAAAAACTCACAAATGTCTTGCAGTAGTGCTCTTGGAATTTAAATCCTCTGGAGGTTGCCACTGTGTTTTGGGCAGAAACTTTAAATTGCCAGTGGTGTAGGGATACAATGCCTGGTCTAATAGTTATCTCAAAAGTGTGCTGGATGCATTTAGCTTCCTTTTTGTCTTCTCAGATAAGCTGGCACCAATTTTGAATTTACTTTCTTCTTAAATGCAGCCTGTTCTTGAAAGATCTGTACAACCAATTTTTATTAGGTGCTCCCAACCACAAGACAAAGCCTTCTTAAGACCCTAGACCAGGGGTGGCTGGAATCTTTCTGTTTTAGGTGGACCATGCAGTTGTGTTCCTAACTACAAAATCCTGGGTTTGGGATGGATTCTCTTTTTTTTTATGTCTGAAGTGTTTTCGAACAATCAAAACCAACTAAAGCTCATTTTGAAAATCAGAGAAAAATTCAGCTTAGAACTAGAATTAAGTACTGTTGTTATCTATAAAATCGTGTTTTTTTCTTGAAATCAGCCTGAGCTTGGAAATTTTGGGAAATCAGCCTGAACTTGGAAAATTCGGACTCATGGGAAACTTCAGCGAATTGCTTTGGCAGCTTTTAGGAAACAAGTTAGGTCATGGGTGTTTTTTCCTCTCCATTTCAGATATTGTTCATAAGCTTGGATAGTAGTTGAGTGCTCGGGGAACAGCTGAGATGAGATGGCTATTTTATGTTTTAGAGTTGGACAGAGTGAAAGAGAGAGAGAGAGTGTGTGTGTTACTTCCAAGATGCCCTGGCTTCCCTGGTACAGTCCAGTCCCAAGCAAGTCCCAGATTAAGAGGAGATTTCCCTCTTCTTGGCCTCGGAGCTGCTAGCAGCATTGGTGGATGCTTGGACTTGGCTTCTGGCTTTTGACAGACTTCAGCAATGTCATTTAGTGGCTGATTAACAGCTACAAGGTCAATGATGTTGCTACATGGGATCACTCTGTGTTTACTGGCTTGGCTCTTCATTTACTTAGATTCATGATTCCCTCCAGATGGACCTTGATGTACCAGAAGGTTGCTCCTTGGGTTGAGGAGATACTTTTTTTGGGACTCCTTTCACTTAAAATCCATTGCAGAGCCCTCGCAAGACCTGGGACTCTGAAGCCTTCTCCAGCTTATTTCCCCTGAACCAGCTTAAAGCTGCTTGTCATTTTAAGACATTTCAAAAATTCCAGGGGAACTCCTTTATAATAAATCCTGATGCAGTAGAGTGAAATGCAATCTTCTGACCCATTTCTTTTGTGTGCTCTGTTAGGGTGCAGTGTTCAGGTCTCCATATCAGCCTCACCTTTTTTGTTCATTTTCTCCCCCAGCTTTATTGAGGTATAAACCTCACCTCCATAGAGTAGGGGTTTGGATCAAGACAGTGGTTGGGTTTTGTCTTGGTATTCTTCAGATACTATTCTAAAACAAATCTTTAAAATGTCTTTAGCCCTTGATTTGGATCGCTGATTTAAAAAACATCATTTTTCCCTGAAAGCTAGGTTTACTGGAGTAGTCCTTTTCACTTTTAAAGATATTTGTTAAAAGGAAAAGAGTTTCATTTTTTAGGATCTCTTAAATTTGCTGTATTTTACAATGTATTTTCTCCCCAGGATCTCCCTTAGACCTCAGCATCATGTATGCAATAAGTTGTGTACCTAGTATGGATTGACATCTTCACATTTTCTATTGTTAAAAAGAAATTACAAGGAAAATGCTAGTAAGTAAAGGAAACATAGTATGGGGACGCTTGCTATCATTAGCCAATTGACTGGCTGAATATGAACAAAGGCTAAGGTTAATTTTAAGAAGCAGTCCCAGATGATTTTATATCCCCCGTGATCCTACTCCAGGCTCAAGACATCCAGCCTGTGGCCATTTCTGATCAGAGGGGCTCTGGGTGCTTACAAAGGCACTTTTACTACTATGTGACTGGTTCTAACCACCCTTTCCCTTGCCTTTTGTTTCTGATCTGTTACAGGACATGGAGGAGTGAATCAGCTTGGGGGGGTTTTTGTGAATGGACGGCCACTCCCGGATGTAGTCCGTCAAAGGATAGTGGAACTTGCTCATCAAGGTGTCCGGCCCTGCGACATCTCCAGGCAGCTTCGGGTCAGCCATGGTTGTGTCAGCAAAATTCTTGGCAGGTAAAGGCAGGCGCCTCGGGCTTCCCGTGATTTTTCAAATAACAACATAGAACTTGACCCAACAGCTGTCCAACGTGCTAATGTCGGAGTGAGAATCATGGTGGCACTTTGCCCATGTGCACAGCACTTTAGAATTTGCAAAGCCCTTTCTAGGCCATTCAATTCAAAGTGGCCCTGGGAAACCCCTGTTTCAAGTGACACGTGGAATGGGGTGACTCAGTCAGGAAAGATGACATATTTTCTGAAAGCCTGGTTAGTTATTCCAAAGAACTCAAGAGTAAGAGATTCTTGGGAATTTCCCCTATACCTCTTAGGTGAGCCCAGAGTTTGAGCAGGGCTGGGCGGAAAATCCACAAGTTCTAAAAATCACATAACCAGAGTTCAATGTTTCATTTTAATGTTTGCAAAAAGCACATTCCATTTTTAAAAGCCAGCTGTCATTTTCAGTTTTGGGTGATCATCACCCTTATTATGCTGGGCTGTAGTATTTTCCTTCAATGTTTTGTTTCCATTGTAGTGACAGGCATCCTAAGTATATATTAAATTAGAGAGGAAAAAAAACCCAAACACTAACTGAAATCTGACATTTGAAAGTTACCACTTGACCTGGCAATTTGCTGCAAGCAAAATACTAACAATGCTGATTCTCCCAGCAGCCTGTATAGCCTTTTAGCGCTCCCGTTTATGTTCTGGGCTGAGCTCCAGCATGTTTTGCGATGAGGAAGCAAACCTGGAGAGGTGAACTGACCAAGCTAGGTCCATGCAGCCCCTCAGCACTCGGGCTGGGAAGAGGCCTTAAGGACTCCTAGACATCTGCATCTCATCCTGCCCTCAAACCAAAGCCACAGGGTTGTTTCCAGGCATATGAAGCTGTTATAGGTCTGTCCTGGCAGCCAGGAGTATTCTCGGGCTTTAGTTGTTCAGTGCTCTCTCAAGATTTCTCTCCCCGTGTCAGAAAACAACCTTTGTCCTGCAGCTTGCATTATGGTTGAGAACAGATGCCTGAAGAGAAAATAAAGATTTTGAAGTCTGTCAGTGACATAATGGCTTTCTGCTTGCTTTCTTTTCCATCTGCTGGGATTGAAGAGTTCTCTCAGATGGAGAGAACAACAATTTCTAACCTTGGAGAGCCATGCTGGAGGCCAAGGGAAGACATTTCAGGGCCAGGGGTCTGGGAGCCCTTTAGTGACCTTGATCCTGGCTTTTCTTCCTCATCTCCTTGCCCGTCTTAGGTCACCTCAGCGGTGGACGCTGTGGACTCCACTCCTGTGTAGCTCTCAGCAGCAGAGGAGCCCCAGACAGAGCTCAGGGAGGAAGGCAGGGCGTCAGCATGGAGTTCTTGTTACGTGGTTTTAGGCAGGAGGAAGAGAGCAAGAGGAGAAGAAAATAGAGGAGAAGAGAGAGACAAAAGAGAAAAAGAAAAAAAAAAACAGAAAAGGGAATGATAAAAAATACAACAGAAACAGAAAGAGAAATGAAGACGAGAGAAAGAGATGTAAGAGAAATATTTCAGACTATCTCAACACAAGCTCTTGAGAGCTGAATGGATCTCAGTTATCTTCTTGGGAAACCTTGTCATTGTACAGAGAGAGAGAGAGAGAGAGAGAGAGAGAGAGAGAGAGAGAGAGAGAGAGAAAGAGAGAGAGAAAGAGAAAGAGAGAGAGTGAAAGCCCTTTCTTTGTTTTTCTGAGACATCTTTTCTGGGCCGACATCTTGCTTGCAATCTGAAATCTTCTCAGGGCAAGACACTGAGGCCTTCCCAGAGGGGAGGTCCAGATGCCAGGTCCTCATGTTCTGGTGCCTGGGAACCCTCCAAATCTCCTGGAGACTGAAGGGGACGGGGCCTCCCAGACCCAGCCAGCAGTCTCCCGGCGGTCCGGAATAGATTTGTCACTAAGTAGAGTGGCACTCGGAAGTTATGCGCCGCTCTGGTGCCTGGCCGTTTAAGTTGTCAACAATAAATTGGAATTTCATAGCTCATTATTTTCATAACTAAGAACCACAGTGGACAAAATGTCACTCTAATTAGAACTGCCTTTTAAGAAACAAGTTCAGCCCTAAAACAGTGTGACTGGGAATTTCTGAACTGGGTCTGTTCCATCCACTGATTTTTTTTTTTTTTTTTGGTCACTGAAGAATCTGATGGGTGCACACTGGGTGACAGATTGTAGAGAGCATGTGCTGGGTGGTGGCTGTCGTTTTCAGAGGCTGCATGGCAAGGCGGGCAGAATCCTTGGGGCAGGCAGAGACCCCCATCATCTTGGGAAGGTGGCAGTCTGTCAGGAGTGTGGGCATTCAGTCCATAGAGCTCAAGGCTCTGGAGGGACTCAAGAGTCACAGCTTGGTGGCCTGTGAGGCCCCTTCAAATTCATGCAGAAAGCCTGGCTGGTTTCTTCACTGGAGCCTGGTTGAGAGGTTCAGGACATTTGGAATTGGGTGGTATTTTACACAGCAATAAACACTCAGAGGATTTTAATCCACAACACCTGCTCTTTATATTTTGCAAAGCTTTTTCTTAACCATTCTGCATTTCTGTCTTCATAATGGCCCTGCAAGGCAGGCAGGGCAAACATCTTTCCCTTATTATGCAAATGGTATAATTGAGGCCCAGAGAGGCTAAATGAGTTGGTCAAGGTCACACGGCTAGTGTCAGAGCCACTGACTAGCGAGCACCTACTCCTCTTTACTCCTAAACTAACACTGTGCACTCAACTACCCTGTGTGTTGGTGGCTGCCCTTTGAGCATGTAATCCAAAAGGCTGCATGGCTGTTTTGCTGAGATGAAAGAGCAGTTAGTTAATCTGAATCCTCACTTGACACCGTTTGCTAGCTGGGGTTTCCTGGAGAGTCAGGGTTGCCTTCTGAGTACCTGGTCCTTGTGTCAGTCAAAAGGAAGACAGAGACCTCTGTCAAGACCATAGCCTCCTATGGTTGGCACTGCCCAGGTGGGGTGGATGGAGAGCCCTGGGTGCTGCCACCCTGAGCCGTGCCAGCAGGGCAAGCGCTGGTGGCTGGGGTGGTGGGGCCTCACCCTGCTGCCCTCTCAAAGCCCAGTTGCTGCGTGAATATTGCAGTCCCATTCAACTAACACTCTGAGTACCAAGTGCAGGACAGTGCCTTTCCTACTGATTGAACAAGTAAGTGAATGAGGAGTTACATGTGAAAATGTTTAGTAAACACTAAAGCTTTCTATAGTTACAAGGATTATTATTATTACTTTAATTTTTACAACCAAAATTAAAGCATTTTTGGGAAGAGCAGTGGATTCAGAGTCAGGTTTGAAAGCTAGGGCTGCCTCTAACTTCCAGAAGGGAGTTGGGCAAGTTACTTAGTCTTCTGATCATCAGTTTTCCTTCTATAAAGCCCTGCTGGCCTCTCAGGATTAGTGTGAGGGTCAAGATAATTCAAGGAACAGTTCTGTAAACGTCAAAGCACTATGCCTAAATAATGAGTTGTTATGCTGTAACAATGACTTTCTATTGTAAAACTGAAAGGATAATTCAAGGCTGTGGAGATTGCTATGTACCTTGATTTAGGTACTTTTCTAGACTTCTGGCAAAAACACATTTTCTGGGTATTTCTAAAAACCTGTTTGTGACTAATAACAATTGTTTAGCAATTACAAAAAGAGGGAGGATACGTTGAGTTTTACCTTATGATCCAAATTTTGTACGTGACTCACTCTTCTTAATGAAAAACAGGATTTCCACTTACATATCACTGCTCTCAAACTATTTCATCTGTTTCTAGAATATTTACTAACTTGGCCCTAACCAGACTAATCCAAACTAAGAATTTTAGCATCTCTTCTAATGTAACCAGTCATTGTTCCTGGGTAGCATTTCCCACCCTACCCCATTGGAGAATCGCCTCTTTTTCTTATCATTATAAACTCTTGTTAGGTTTAAAAATTTCCAGTCATTTCTAAAATGTCTCTTTGGTTAAACATTTTGTTTTTCAATTGCAAGATAATCTTCTTTGCAAGAGGAAGTCAAGAATTCTGTAAATGTTGAGAAAGACATCCAGTGAAGGCTCAGATACAGAATAAGAATCAAGTAATTTTTTCCCCCTGAAATGATCTTTCATGGCACTCTTCTCCCTGGTCTCGGTTTTACTGTAAAACCCTGACATCCTATTTGCGTTAACGAGGAAGAGCTGATAGCATGGAAATGTCCTTAGAAACAGCGATTTACCTCAGGGGAGGTCTCTGCAAGAGCCGCAGGAGCTGCCGAGGACTTGTGGTTGTTTTTTTTGACTGCTTGAATTTTGACTTATATATAACATTTCCAGTTAATTCTGAAATTCAATTGTTTTTTAAATTTTGCCAGGGTTATTGTTTTTTCTATTATAGAAAAGTAAGTTGCATTTTAGGGGACAATTTCACAGAATGCAGACGAATCTGCTAAGGAATCAGAGGGCTGACAAATTAAAAATACAAGCCAACTTTCTGGGGAAATATTATCTCAGGAGGTGGGACCACAGTCCTGGTTTTGCCAGTGGGTCTTGTGTGGCCCTGGGCAAGCTGTTTAACCTCTATGGATTTCTGTTTTATACCTATAGGCAGCGGCCTATTCATTTATTTGTTCACTCATTCAAAATGTTTATGTGCTTTAAAACTTATAGGGATCAAATGGGAAAATAGGCACACAAGTGTTCTGTAAACTGTGAAATGGTAGATAAGTGTGACAGAATTAATTAATTAATTAATACATAGCATTCTGACCAGCACTGTCCAACAGAAAACCACATCTGAAAGCTACATCTGAAGTTTAAAATTTTTCTAGTAGCACATTTAAAAAAAAGAAAAAGATATGTGGTTAATTTTAATTAAATATTTTTTAACCTTGTATATTAAAAATGATCATTTCAACATATAACCATTATAAAAATTATTAATGATATATTTTACATTTTCTTTTTGTACTAAGTCTTGAAAATCTCGTATGTAATTTACTCTTAAAGCACATCTCAATTCAAACAAGCCACATTTCAAATGTTCAGAAACCGCATGTGACTAGTGGCTACTGTATCAGATAGCACAGGTCTGGACTTTTCCTGGACAGTGTAGCCCATTATTTTGTTGCCAACATCCCTCTTGCTGACTCCTCATGGCTAAGCTCCTTTTTCCTTGGGTCCTAGGTATTATGAGACGGGGAGCATCAAGCCTGGGGTAATCGGAGGATCCAAACCAAAGGTCGCCACACCCAAAGTGGTGGAAAAAATTGCTGAGTATAAACGCCAAAATCCCACCATGTTTGCCTGGGAGATCAGGGACCGGCTGCTGGCAGAAAGGGTGTGTGACAATGACACAGTGCCCAGCGTCAGTTCCATCAACAGGTGAGAGGCTGGTGCCTGTGGGAGGCTGGGGAGCTGGGGGAGTGAGGGATCCTGGAGGCTCTGTAAGTGCCTTTCCTGAAGACCTGGTCTCTCCTTTTGCCAAGGTCCCTTAGGGATTATTAGACAGGAGGAATGCGAATATGGCCCATGGGTGTTTCTGTTGCTCTTCTCTTCTCTCCAAAGTGGTCAGTAGTCCTAGGCCCAGGGGGAGAAGATGATGCCAGCACTCTGGCTTCTTGAGGTTGGTAAGAGCCCAGAGTGATTTCTGTCACTCCCTTCACCACCTGCCTCAGTATGTGGAACACTTAGCAGTGAATTGTCCTAATTAGGCTTTCACAAACGTCTCTTCCTTGCAAGCCCAGGCTCAAGGTTTTAGCACTGGTCCATCTCAGAGCTTCCCAGGAAGAAAATCCCTGCCTCCAGTTTGGGCAGAGGGTAAGCCATTGAGCGTGGGGAACAGGGCCCCGACTTGGAATTGGGAGATTTAGCTCCTTGTCCCAGTTCTGCCACAAACTCAGTGTGACTTTGACAAAGCTCTTCTCTCTGAGACCTCAAGCCCCTGGTGGTTCTAATGTGATCTGTGATCTCCAAGAATGATTTCCAAGGATACAAGGATGCTAAGGTGCTGTGGAGTTAAGAGGGTGCCCTCTCCCCAGTTGTCTGAATCTCACCCCTGGAGAGAAAGACCCAGAGAAATACTGTGCGTACCAGGCATAGGAACTCTCTGGAAGCCACAACCACTCTTTCTCTGCAGTCTAATCCAGGATACATCTAATGGAGCCCTCAGAACTTTAAAAGCAAATTCCTGAAAGAAAGTTTTCTACTATAGATGGCTGTTTCCACTCCATTTAAACCCACAGAAGTCCTGGGATGAAGTTGTGAGATAAACAGAAATGGTAGTTCTTTAGACCCCACAAAGAAAAGTGAAGTCAACATTCTGAAAACTCTCAGAGCCCCTGTTTGTCCAAGGTGATGCTCTGCTCCTGTCAGTGCAGAGCCTGTGTGCACAGGGAGGGCCCCTCCCCCTCCCCCTCCCCCTGGCAGACAGAGGGGGTCAGACCAGAATGTCTCCGAGGTCCCCCTGGTACAGCAGTTGTCCCTTTTGGATGACTCACATGTTCAGAATCAGTGCGTATATGCGTTGACATTTTGAGTCCTGCTGTACCGTTCGCCTTTTTTCTCCTCTCAGCTAACCTTGACTTTGGCCCTGACAGCATGCAAGGTGTTGAGAAGAGAGGGCGATCAGGCACACAGTCTCATAGTCTCTGTTCTCAGGGGCCTCCTTGTTTGCGAGGGGTTCTGGCATGCACTTACAAGTCTGGACCGCCAGAATTAGGCACACAGTTCCTGACGAGGTAGTAACGATTGTAGTGGGTTTGGAGGGAGGACTAGCTACTGTTCTTTTCCTGGATTATGAGGGGCTCCGATGTGCTGTGTGAATCTCCTTCTTACAGCTCATTATGGGATTTGCATGACACGAAGCAACATGATGTTTTTTCTGGGTCTCCAAAAGCCCTACTGTGGAGTGAGGCACATAATGCTTAGAGCAGTGAAGGGGCAGTGAGCCTGGTCTGCCAAGGAACTGCTGCCAACCCATGGTCAGGCTTTGTGGGCCTACAGATTTCCCAGTGCAAGGTATATGTAATCCGTGGTTCAGAAGATAACTTTAGGTTGCCCATGGGGGTCCCTGACTCTAATACTCATGTGTGGCTAGTCAGATAATGCAGCAAGTGAAGCGGGCCAGGCATAAGGCAATAGGGAGAGGTTGAGTCTGTGGTAAAGTAGACAACACAAGCCTGTACTGACAGAAGCAGGTGCTTCTTAGCTCCAGCTGAATGCTGCTGGGAATGTGGGCCCAGTATTTGCCACATTTTTTCAGCTCTTAAAGAGGAGCCAGAAACTAGGGCTTGTATATGCATGTATGTATGTGTATTTATATATATGAAATCTCTATATTTTTAAATGGTGGCAACTGATTTCAACTAAAAAAATGCCTTGCAGAACAAGCACAACTCATTTATAGGGCTGCAGCTTACATCCTCTGTAATACAGGGTAAGAATTGCTTTATGATGAGTTTAATGTATTTCAGAAAAATATAACTAGCACACCCAGCCAGTGAGTGTGAACTTTTTGAACTAAACCTCCCTCCCAATAGCATTATAGACCTTATAAAATAAGTCTATATTTAAGTCAGAAAGTAAGTTTGTTGAAAGAAACATATGAAGTAAAGAGAGTACAGTGGTTGCAGATACAGTGTCTATGAAGGCTACGAAGGGGCTGCTTGAATGAGAGGCCAGGGAAATCGTGGGTCAGCTGATGCTTATGCCTGGAGTGGGCTGTGCAGATGATTTGACTGCTGGTTGCTGGGGCCGTGGCTGGGAGTCCTAATCCAGAATGGTGGCCCTGCTGGCAGTACCTCTAAGGTGCTTTCACATCTGCTTGTCTACAGCCCTGAAGGCTTAATAAGTCTATCCTGTGATAGGAATAGAAACTTAGGCCCAGGTGGGGAGTGCAGAGGAAAGATGATTTTGAGATAGAATGGGAGTAGAGCCCATGTCCCCTGATGGTAAGAGGAGGGCAGGTCTGTTTCCACCACTGTCCTGTAGGACTCTGCTAAGTGACAGAACTGAGAAGAGAGGCAAGCAGAGGCACAATACCTGCAGCCTACCTGTTTTTCTGCTGGTCTTCAGGCTCCATCTGTGGCTCTCGGCTGTTCGCTGTGCACCCCTCAGGGGACTCTCCTCTAGGAGCACACCTGGCTCCTAACTACACTCTTCAGTGAGAGCTCTTGTCATCTTCAGCCAACTGACCCCGCAGTACAAATAAACTAAGGCGGCCCAATCCAATGTTGTTGCCTTCCTGCCTGCCAGCCCCCAAGAAAGCCTGAGCCATCCCACTATACAGTTTTATTTTCTGTAGGAAGGCAAAGCTCTACTGCATTCACATGGATTCAGCTTCTAAATAACTGTCTTGCAAACATCACTGTGCTAGAGGGTCCATAGCCTTCTCTCCCAGGCTCTGCCTCCCTGGGATGCAACTTCTCACTATTCTCATATTTCAAACAGCTCGGGAGTGGAGTGGGATAGTGGCTGGATTTTTAGCTATTCTGGTAGCCATAGGATCATCTCCACTGTCCACTCCTAGAAATGTATGCCCTCTTGTTATCTTCTGGGAGAGCAGCCTGGGAAGCCATAATTGACATGGGGTTAAGCAACACTGAACCACTTCTGCTAGGTTTGTGGGACATTTCCTGGGACACAAACCATGCCTATGTGGATTCTTAAGGACAAAGGTGCTCTGGGATGCTGCACAACCAGCATGAGAGATTCCTGGAATCCGACCTGAGTGTCAATTGGAGATGACTAAGAGCTGATCCAAATGTTTGGTGGAATGGAGTCTTCCATCTTATGTTCCAGCGCTGTGGCTCTTAAATCAGGGGCCAAGTGATGGGGACCGTGAGCGGCAGTCCCAGTTTTGATGGACAGCTCTATTTAGCACCAACTGCTTTTTGTCATGTGAGAATGTGGGGCCTGGATTGCTGGGTCTTCTGATTTTTCAAGGGAAGCTAGAAACCCATGTACTTATGTAAAAGCTCCTAACTTACAAATTTGGCAACTAATTCAGATGAAAATAAATATACTCTATAGGCCAAACAAAACTTGTCCCAGGGATGGATGTGGCCTGGGGATGACAGGTTAAAACTCTGCTCTGAAGATAACTTGATGGCAAGCTTTCTGAGACAGTTCACCCATTCCTTCTTTCTTCTCCACATCAACCACAGGCTTGCATGTTGCCTGTGGGCCCTTTCTCAGCATGGCCCAGCTGGACCCTGGGTTTTGGATTCTTAGCATAGCTGATGGCCCAAGATTCTTACTGCACCAATAGCAGTTTGATCAGTGCCATAGATGTGGCATTTCTTCAGCACTATCTTCCCATTTCCTTATTTAAGGCACCATGATTTTTTTCTTTCAACGTGATTGTGTGTGTGTGTGTGCGCCTGGGATTTTTAATCTTCAGATTCTAAATGGATTTTGAATCCAAAGGGCTTTATGCCTCATATAGGAAATATTTAGCAGGGAGACCACTTTCTTTGAATGTGGTTCAAAGAAAAGTGCTCAGGCACAGGAGCTGGGTGTCTGGGCTGACTTGCTTTGTGATCCTGGGCAAGTCACTTGAGCACTCTGGGTTTTAGTTTCCTCATTTGTAGGAATTAGTTGATTGTTGAACTCCCTTTTCCATTGAACCATCTGGGATGTTCCTGTGGCACCCAGGGTCATGCTCATGCTCTGCAAAGTAAAGGCTGTACCTTTTAGTGTTAACTACCAATTAGTCCCGACCACCTCTGGCTTAGGAAGGGTCCTGTGATTGGCTCTTACTGTGACAAGTCTTGAGGATTGTTTGTTATTCTTTTATTATTTATTTTTTTTATATTGCTCTTACTCAGTTGGTGTTCTTCCCACTACCACTTCTTCTCAATGGAAGGTGAAGGTCTTTGGTCTTTTCTTGGCAACTGCTGCAAGCAGATGGCCAAAATCTCTATCCCTGGGGACAACTTTGGAGGGTTCTCACATCCTGATCTGGCCTGTAGAGGACAGCCCTGCTACAGCTTTCAATAGGATGTGAGGATAGCTGCCCTTCCGCTCTTTAGCTCCCAAGGGCTCCCCATGTGTTTTTAAGGCATATGTGGAAAATATGGACCTTTTGAGATTGCAACTGATCATTAATCTTTATGAAGATACCACTGAAAATAACAACAGCTGGCATTTATTAAGAACTTACTATGCAGAAGTCACTGTTCTAGATACGTAAGTAATTTAATCCTCATGATAACCTTGTGACGTAGGAATGATTCTTGTCCCATTTGCAGATGAAGAAACTGAGGCACAGAGAGATTAAGTAATTTACCCAAGGACATACAGTGTGTAAATTGCAAAACTGGGATTCAAACTCTAGTAGTTTGGTTCCAGAGCCTATACACTTAATTGCTATGTTGCAGCTACCTCTCAATGATTTATAGCAATTGAGAATGTTTTATCAATGATTTATAACTACTATAAAAGAAAAGTAAGAAAAACGTAGTTTTCTTTGCTTTGCTCATGTACAAATTCAATGTTCAGACAATGCTTTGAAAAGTTAGGACTTCATGCTGGACTTCAATGAGAAATAATAATATATTTTACCATATGTTTGTACAAATATAAACCATAATATAGACAAACTATTTTTATAGCTGTTATATCCATTTATTCACATATCTAGCTCTATCTTTGCAGACACCACACATGTATCTACAGAAAAGGTGACATACACAGCACAAGAAAAATGATCAAATGCTGGCTCAGTTTCAGGTGGTCAGAAAGACTTCCTCATTCCCAGGTCTTTGTTAATGCATTCCATGTTTGCTTAGTTAAAATAAGTGGTTTGAGTTTTGGAAAAAAATAAACAATCAAACATACATACGTTCTGAATGTATTTGAAATAACACTTAAGCTAGCTCATCAGAGAAGGGCAAATGGCCTGGACTCCAGAGGGCCTGTTGTTGGGCTGAGGCATGAACAGAAATATCCATTCCAGGCCATTAGTCTCGGACTAAGAATCCTCAGTGCCTAGTGCTGAGCCGAGTGATCACGGAGAGCAGAGGCTAGGGCCCGTTGAGGTTAAGGGGAGGCATCTGCCACTTCTGTTCTTTCTCTCCGTTTGTGTACACTGGAGACCCAGTGCAGCTTGAAACAAACTTCCAGGAACAGTGGCCTGGAATGTGAAAAACCTTTTCATATGATGGTGAGTGAGAAGAGCAGGATACAAAACTGTATACATGGTTTAATCCAGATTTTGTTAAGAGAAAGTGGATATCTCCAAACATGCTCAGGAATGTTAGCATTAAAGGAAATGCCCAAATGTGATTTTAGATATCTTTCTAATTATTGTCCAAACAGTCTACGTGGAGCAAAAGGACTTTTATAAAAAGGAAAAACTCTAATTAAAGTATTCTTTTAAAAGGTAATCGTTGGAGGTTGGAATAGAATTTTTCCAAAGAAGCTGACCATTTTATTACCACCCACCCTTCTCCCAAATGCCAGGAAGGAACTTCCTTGCAGACCCTAGGGAGACTTTTGGCCTGGCCCTGGTTGGCTGTTCTGTGACACACTGGCCTTGGGGTCTCATGGAGGGCCCCTGTGTTGTCCCAGCTGGAAATCTGCAAACTAAACTTCTCAGCCCAAGGTTGTGCAGAAGGACATCAATACCACTATTATCCCTTTTGTATACTGGGCTTTTCTGTAAAAAATTTTTTCTCCAAAATGATTTAATTACTGAAAGTAAGCAAAGCGTGGTCTGTTCCAACTCCCTCATTGTACTGAGGTCCACAAAGGGAATGAACTTGCCCAGAGTCACAACAAGTTCACAAGTTCAGGGTCACAAGTTCTTATTAGAACTGGAACAAGGGGTCAAAAGATAGGCCAGGACATCCCTGGCTCCCAGCTACTTCTACCAGGTTTGTACAAAGTGAGCTTTCTCTTAGCAAAGCCACGATGGGCCTCTCCTGGCAGCACTTTAACCCTTTCTGGTTTCAGAGCAGCACATACCTCCCCTCACTTGGTCTTTTCCAACAGGTAGGGTTGTTCCTGTTTTTGTGGCTCTCTAAGGCGGAGAAATCAGAGCATGAAGGCTGCCAGGGGACAGACAGGTCACCTGGCTCAGCCCCTTTATTCCACAGATGAAAGGCTAGGGTCCAGGAAAGGGAAGGGAAGGAACTCCTTTATGGCATCAGTGAGTTCCTTATGGAGCTGGAGCTGCTCCAGAGAAAGGGGTGCCTATTCATGGCATTCGCACATCATCCTTTCTACAGAAGAGGCACTTGAGGCCTGGAGAGGGGGTGCAAGTAAGTTACCCGAAGACACCCAGAGAGGTGGGGGCTGAGTTGGAACTATGCTGTAAATCTCCCAACCCCCAAGTCCCCAACACGGGATTAAATCTCCTCCTACCACTCCTGCTGCATGACTGTGACCCAGTTGGATATGGGTTTTCTGGTTGTCCATGCATAGCTAGTTGAAACCTCTTTTCCATGATGGTAAATAGCCATTTATTTCTTTCCCAACTGCCCACAGGATCATCCGGACAAAAGTACAGCAGCCACCCAACCAGCCGGTCCCGGCTTCCAGTCACAGCATAGGTAAGAAGAACTTCTTAAAAAAAATTTAAAAATCTAATAGGTTCCAAATATTCTAAAGAACTTTTAATCATTCTATGGGCAGATAATTCTGCATAAAACACTTCAGCACACGTACTAATGCGCCTTCTTTGTCATTCTCCAAGGGCTGAACCTGGTAAATGAATTTTATAAATACTGCTAAAAGGTTTTGAATTTTACTGATTATTATGATAAATAGCTTTCACCATGAGACAGAAAATTGAAATCTAAGCCAAAAAAAAAAATCCACTAATGGGGGTCTATAGAATGTCAGATAATTAAAGTAATAAATCAAGAAAGGGATACTTATTCATAACATTTTCTGCATCATTAGTCAGTAAGTAGTTTTGAATGTGTTTTTTTCTTCTATCAACCAGCCCTTCTACAATTCTTTGTACACTTGCAGTCTTGAGTGAATATGTGGCAAAACTTCCCAAACTTTCTCTCTTTCTTGCTTCGATCTCAAGTACTCTGTGAACTGTCAAGGGCTGCCAGTAAAGTTTCCAATACTCATGAGTGAAGGCTGAATGTGACTGTAAGGACTTGTAAGGATGGGGGTCCTATTTCTTACTACTGTTTTTTTTTCTTTTATGCTTTTTAAAACTAAGGTATCATTGATATACAATCTTTTTTTAAATTTTGGTATCATTATTGTACAATTACATGAGCAACATTATGGTTACTAGACTCCCCCCATTATCAAGTCCCCACCACATACCCCATTACAGTCACTGTCCATCAGCATAGTAAGATGCTATAGAGTCACTACTTGTCTTCTCTGTGTTATACTGCCTCCTACTACTCAAGTTCAGAAGGTCTCCTTCCCTTCCCTTCCCTGCAAAGATCATAGATGAAAATGTCATGTGTCTACGTGAAGCATATTATTTCTCCTCTTGGGATAAAGGAAACACTTCTGGCTGGCTGGGGGAAACGTTACTCCACTGTGAGAAAGCTGGCAACCATCCAGCAAGCCTCTAACTGTTCTGGTTGCCACATTCCTGTCAGTTCCACTTAATCACGCCTCAGACTGTGTCACTTTTCCACACCTTTGTCACTCCTTCTTTACTGAAAACTTTAACTCCCTCCCACCTCCACCCACCCCGCAAGTGATGAGACAGGCAGAGACCTGGCTTTTAGTTCCAGCCCTGCCATTAACTCACCCAGTGAACTGTGTAAATCTCTTCATCTTTCTGACCTCAGTTTCCCCATTTGTGGTGCTCTCTGAAGTCTCTGATCCTCCATACTGGCTTCTTTGGATAAAGTTTAAGACAGAATTTTTTCCTGCCATAAAATAATTCTTCATTTAGTAATCCATTCAAAAGTGTTCCCTAAGCCACCCCCACCACACAGACCTGGCGTTGGAAATTAAGTTACGAAGGAAGCAGGACAAAAATCCCCATTTTCAAGGGCTTCTCAGCTTAATGGGGGAATGTATCAAAGAGCAGTTTGCAAAATACTGAGATAAAGTTCAGGAAGAAAGTACAGGGTGCTGTGGGGGCTAAAGGGAGGGTGCTACTAGCTCTGTTGAGCAGGGGGAAGAGCTTTGAGGATGGTTCCTGGGGAATTGTTTGCTGCTTTAACTATTTCAGGCCACTTAGCAATGAATACCAAACTGAGAGTAACTGATAATATTCCTTCCACTGGGAGAGAGAAATAATTCTACTTATAGGTCAGCAGAATGCTTTGTCTCAGAAATTTTTATAAGAACCATATCTTATATGCATACAGCCCCTTATAGTTTACAAACTTTTTGAAGAGTGAGGAAATGAAGTCTTAGAGATTAAATGAGTAGCCCAAGGTCATACTGCCTGTAAGTGGTGGAGCCAGAATTGGAACCTGCTCTTGAATCTAGTATAATCACAAAATATTGGAACAAATATATCATGGCTCTGTCAGTAATGTGGTGAGCCATGGTTATATATGGTTGTTGTTTAAAGTACCAAAGGACTTGTGATCTTCTTTCTTCCTCTGTTCTTTGCACCTTAATACAGAAAAGGTTGTGAGATTTGCATAAATCTATTTTGAGGAACTTCTTCTGGTGAAGGAAAAGAGAAGTTAACGATTTCTGCTTCTGTGTCTCCTAAGGAAGATCTGAAATCAAACGCAACTGTGAAAAGAAAGGCTCTGCTCCCTCTAGGTCTGTAGTCGCAAGAGCTGGGTGTGCTCCCGGGAGAGCAACTCACGGCTTGGCTTTTCGAGCACTCACCACCGTTGCTAGTCATTTTCTACACTTTAGAGTCAGAGGCGGCTTCACCTGCCTCCAGCTAGTTATAGTCCAAGGAAATGTGTGAGATTGGTTTGTAGGTTTTAATGAACCAAGAATTCCCACAGCCCAGAAATGGAAATTCAGCTCTACCGCTGCGAGGACCCCGACGACTGACTGGTCTCTCCCTTGGACTCTGAAGCCAGGACTTAATGGGAAACTTGGACAAAACCTCCTGTCCCCTATTCTTATCCTTAGGAATTTAGAAACCTGGCCTCAGCCACAATGTCACTGGCTTCTGCCCACATTTCTGGGCAGGGGAAATCTAGACTTTTAGATCAGTACCCAGAAGCTGAGTCCTGGTGCCACCTCTTATTAGCGAGATAACTTTGAGCAAATCACTCCCTTGTGGGGCCTCAATTTCCTCATTTGATAAATGAGGATAAATATAGTACTCTAGGTTATTGCAAGCATCAAGCAAAAAGCACTGCATTAATATGAAGCATATTACTGTTTTTCAGTAGTAATTAATGAGGAGCAGATTACTACAGGAGTTGATACTTTAGTTTCTGGGTTCCAGTCACCACTCTTATTAGCTGTGTGACTTTTGGCAAGTCACTTACCTTCTCTGAGCCTTGGTTCCCTTCACTTTCTAATGGGATAATGACATTACTTAATTTAAAAGATTGTTCTTAGAGTTAAATGAAATAATGCCTCAATAATGCCTGGCACAGAGTAAGTTCTCAGAAAATGTTAGTAATCATTATTATATATATCAATATATATTATGTCAATATTACATAATTAACATTAAGTATTAAAGTCCAGGTAAATGAAGGAGAAAAGACAGAGAGCAACTGTAAAAAGAAGGAACAGTCTGCAATTTGGAGTTTTGCAGGCTGTGTATGAATGTGCAGGTATTTTTGTCTGCATGGGTGGGTGGATATGTAAGCAGGGAGTGAACCTGCCTAATGAGCGAGTGTAAGTCTTTTTTAGCCCTGGCTTGTGGTGGAGCCAGCTCCCCTCTCTCCTCTCCATCCCCCAGCAAATGTACCCTTGGCCAGGATTTGAGCTAGTGCTCTTCATCCTCCCGTGTTCCTTTCTTTACCATCAGTCCTCCTCACTGGCCATTCCCCAGTCCCCCAGCAGCAAAGAACCAAGGCAAACAGCTCAGGGCCGCTTTCACCACCCAGGTGCAGCCACTGCCATGGGGCAAGCGTCCTTAGTGCACAGTCGCCAAGTCCCTGCACTCTCGCAGCTCTGCAGTCGCATCCAGCCCAGAGTGGGTCAGTGCCATTGTTTCGGCAGAGGGCCCGAAGTGCCCGCCCCTACCGCCCTCCTGCCGGGCCCTGACCGCCCTTTTCCCTCTGCACAGTGTCCACGGGCTCTGTGACGCAGGTGTCCTCTGTGAGCACGGACTCGGCTGGCTCCTCGTACTCTATCAGCGGGATCCTGGGCATCACGTCCCCCAGTGCTGACACCAACAAGCGCAAAAGAGATGAAGGTAAGAGATGCCAACGCAGCCCTGCCTGGGATGGACCTGATGGGAGCTGTGTCTGGGTGGACAGTCGGTGGGTGGAGCAAAGGTGCCCGCTGAGCACCCCTTTACCTGCAGAGCCCCTGTGGCCTGAGCTTTGTGGCCTGTAAGGAGACCTTTTGTTTGCAGACAGATGCCTGAGGACAGGATTTGGAGGTTTTGAGCACAACAGCCTGCTCCCTTTGTAGGGGGGCCCTGGAGAAGAGAGAGGGTCTGGGTGTCCTGCAGCTAGAGGGGCACATGTAGGGTGGCGGGGGTCAGCAGGTGCCTTGTCTGAGGGGCTGTGCACACCTCTCCCCGAGAAGGCCTCTAGGGATGCTTAGGTCAGGGACGAGTTGAGAAAGCTAATCATCTCATCTCAGCCCTTGGGCCTGGATAGAAGGAGTTCATGGGCCTTCCCAGGATTACAAAGATGACCATCTTTCCAGTTGGTTTATCTCTACTTTTTGGGGTGCTGCCTGGGCCTGTGGAGCTGCTGGCCACCTCTGTCCTGGCCATGGGCCCACCTTAATCTAGGTTCTCTTTTGCTGGATGGGCTGCCACCACCAGCTGACATTAATGTGTTTGAGAGGAGGAGCGACCCCCTGGGATTCTGTAGAAACCTTCCTCAGGACAGGAAAAAAAAACGGACCATGGTTTAGGGCCTTAGAGCAGCATGACAGAAATCTTGATTCAATGATTCTGTTCTTTGACCCAATTCCCTTTCTCGCCTCCCTGTAAGGCATGTGTGTTCTCATGAGCGCATGTCAGAGTACTTAAGATCTGTAACTAGAAAATTGAGTCTGCCCAGTGGTGGCCTGGGCTGTGGTCTGCATGTTCTGGGCAGAGCAGAAGCTGGGCCTGTGGCCTCCCTTTGGAGCCTGGGGGTGTGTGGTGATGATTCACAGCCTCTGGAACTTGTCTCACCTCTTTCACCTGCTCCTGACACTCAGAGCAGATGTCAGAAGTCTTTAACTCCGTGGAATTGCTGTGCTGTGTTACCGCAGGAGGTGGTGGGACTACCATCTCTGTTGGTTTATGGGGCTGAAGGTGTCATCTTTTCTGCCACTGTCACTGGACTTACAGCAGATGTGCCTATGCTGGGGCCCAGCTGCGTTTGATCACCATGGAGGGGTGGGAAGTATGAGGCTCCCTCAGGGGCTGAGGGATCCAGGCAGAAATATTTGGAAAAAGAAGAAAATCTAGTTAGATGTTTACTACCAAAACAGGTCCTGGTTTGGGGGGATCATTTTATTGTGCTTGTGGGATGTTCTGTTGGCTTTCCGTCTCTCATCCATGGTAACTGTTTAGCCTCTCAAGCTGCTTTAAGATGTGCAGGGGGGTTGAGTGTTTTAGTCTAGACTGCTCTGTGCTAGTCAAGTCAGATCATTCCCTGAGGACTGTGGCCCATTTGGGGTATTGACTTTTAAGAAGGACAGTGACAAATAGAGATGTATCCAGATGGGCATAGCTGGGATCTGGATCTCATAGCACCTGGAGACTCTGGGGATTTTTTTGACACAAAGAAGAAAAGAATGAACAGGACTGGACTGTTGCCTTCAAATATCTGAAAGGGTCATATCGAAGGTGAGTGGGATGAGACTTTGTTGGGTGGCCTCAAAGGCCAGCGTGTGGCAGATGGAGAGGAGATTTCAGCTCAGTGTAAAAAAGAGCTTTGTAAATATGAGAATGGTCTGGGGCACAAAGGGGCTGCCTTGGGAGGTTGTAAGGGCCCTGTCACTACATGTATGTGATAGAGCCTGAGCGACCATGCTGGGCTGTTGTACAAGAGTGACAAGAATCTGATGTAGGACTGGATCATCTGAGTTCCTCCCAGTTTTTAAATTTATGATCAAGCCCTGATCCCCAGAAAGATGTGGGAGGTGATCCAGTCTGTGATCTGGGGTCTGAGAGAAAACAATCTGATGGTCCTGGAAGCTCACAGGATTAGGAAAGGTGGGAGACTCAAGCAGCAACCAGAGCCTCCCCACCACCCCACCTGCTCTGCATCACCGAGAATACTTGTTGGGAGAGAGGTGAGCAGACGTGCCCTTGCTCAGACTGGCAGACTGCCTGGGCAAGTACTGTGTAGTTTCCCCACTGCCCTTTATAGCCCCCTGGATCCATGAATTGGTGTCAAGGGGAGTTGAAGGGCAGAGATCGCCACCCTTATTATATAGGAACAGAAACCAGGGCCCCAGGGAGTTCCGTGACACTGGCAAAGCCACAGGACTGGTATGGCCCAGGGGGTTAGGAAAAGCTAGAGAGCTTCTGAGGCCTCAGTTCCCTTGTATTGTCCCTCTCCCTGCTGCCCCTTATCCCCTCCAGAGAGATGCTTTGGAAAGGGAGCAGCCCAAGGCTGGGTAGAGCCCAGGGACAGCATGAAGAAGAGTTTCAAGCCGGAGGGCATGGTCAGCATGGCGAGAAAGTATGAACCAGCCACTGGGGAAACACAGGAATCGCCAGGTGCCTGGGAGGGCCAGCCTGGTGAGGCCACAGACCATGGCATCATTTTTCTCAAGAGCCCTTGGCAACCTGAGGGAAGGGCCAGAGAGGCATAGAGGACCAAGAGGAAGACCACTGAGGGTCCTCGCCCTCATTTCTCAGATGAGGCTCTGTAAGGTGGAATTGGCTGACCTACTGGGGTTCACAGTCACCTCCAGCTGGGACTTGGGTCTTGCCCTATGGCACCTCCTGGAGCCACTGTCCGGCCCAGGCCTCAGGGCAGGGATGGGTGGCAATAAAGTCCAGCCACAGAGGCCTGTCCTTTAGAGCTCCCAGGCTCGGGGGCAAGACCTGCAAGCCCAAATCCCTCTGATGGGCAGGCAATGTGTGAGGGGGTGCTCTGATGGGGGATGGGGGGGCCCTGGAGTGGGAGAGCCAGGCAGGGAGGGGCTCTGGGAAGGCTCCTCATAGGAAGTGACACTTTATCAAGGGAGAGATATTTTGCACTGCTTCTGTTTTTAAGTTTTAAGTTAATTAAAATAAAATCAAATAAAAAGTTAGTTCCTCAGTTGCACTAGCCACATTTCAGGTACTTGGCAGCCACACGTGCCTACTGTATTGGATATCAACATATCATGGCTTGAGCACAAGTGTTCAGCACAGAGCAGGTGCTCAACAAATGCTCCTTGGTGGAGCCGGTTGGTCGCATGGCTGCACAGGGTTCACAGTTAATGAGGAGGATGAGTGGGAGGCTCTTTACTCCCCTTAACCGGGAGTGCTTCTGGTTGGTATTTTGGGCTTCCACAGAAAGCTCCATCTGAATAAAGAGTGCTACAGCAAGAACAAACAAGTTAGAGTGCCGTTAGGCAGTGTGTTGCTGAGGGCTCCTTCAGTCTAGAAATTCTAGGATTCTTCCCAGGACGTTTGCCTCCAAGACAAGTAAGTCTTGGGGATGTGGCCACTGTGTCCAAATTTCAGATGAACTCTTCTGTGACTGATAAGGTCCCTGGGGCCTTCAAGGTCAGAGCTGGGGCTGGTTGAAGGAAGCTGTAGGGAGGCAGATTATGGCTCAGTGCAAGGAACAGCTTTCAAACAGTAGCCAGGCTGAGCCAAGGATGGAAGCATTAGCTTGGGAAGATAGTGAGTCCCCTGTCCCTGGAGCTGCGAGCGGGGGCTGGATAGAGGGGGTGCAGAAAGCTAAGAGGGCATTTGGTTTGGACTCTTTTTAACAGTCTTTTCAGGCCTGTTAAAATCTAGGTACCAAGCGCTTCTGTGACTGCCCTGTGTCTGGAAGTGGGTCTACTAACTTGTGCTTCCTTCTTGCTGCCCTGACTCTGAGTTGGCCATCCATGTGGACTTGATTGGGCAGGGGCCACGTAGCAAGTTTCTAATCACAGCCTGACCCCTTGGCACCCGGCATGGTGCAGAGATGCCAGGAGGCTCGTGGATAGCACTGAGTCAGACTAGCATGCTGCTCAGGCATGGGACACAGCTTGTCTCTTGGTTGGGCCCACCTGCGAGCTTTCATGAAGAAGGCTGTGGCATAGGCCTCAGGAATCCTCCTGGGCTGGGGGTCAAGAGCCTGAAGCAGTGCTGCCCTCCCCCGACTCGGAGGAGGTGGTGGTGCAGCCGGACTTGGCAGAGCTGTGAATAGCAGCCATGGGTGAAAGGGAAGCCCCAGGCCCTCTGCTCCTGCCTGGGCCTTTGATCTCTGATGGGACCTCCTCCCACCATCTCCAGGGCCCCCATTCAGGTCTCCTCCCTCTCCCCCCCCCCACCTCATTCCCCCAGGGTTTGAAAGGCTCTGAACACACTGAGGTCAGCCGAGTGCGAATCCCTTTCATTTGCTCAGAAAGCTGCTCATTCCAGTGCTAGTGTGGACTGTGGGGGACAGACCTTCTTTCTGGACAGTAGAGGGTACACTGCAGGTGGCCCTCTGGGCCCTGGACTGCCATCTTCCTGAAGACCTGTACAGGAAGGACAGCCAGTACCCAGAGGTGGCCTGTCCTTTTCAAGAGATATCATGTCCAGCAAGACCATCCAGGGGAAGTTTGAAGGCATTTAGTGGGGAGTCCTGTCATGACTGGACTTCTTCTCTGTGTCTCTCCCATGTCTTTCATTTGGGGGTGCAGCTCATACAGTGTTAACTGCCTCTCTTTATGTCCTGTTAACATACTTCCCCTGCATCTGCTTCCATTTCCGGGTCCAGCTCTCACTCTCTCTCTCTCATCCACTTTCCTCTCAGTCTTTCCCTCTCTCTCCATTGTTTGTCTCTCCTCTCTTCCCCTCCCCTCCCCTCCTCTCCTCTTCCTCCCTTCCTTTCCTCTCTCACACACACACACATTCTCTCTCTCTCTGTCTCACACACACTCATGCACTTTCTCCCTTTCTTACCACCTCCTTCTCCTCTCTCTCTTGTGGGCTGGGAGCCCCAGCTCAGCCTGCCTGCAGACCTCCATGGGAGCCATCACAGGGACAGAAGGGCTTTCAGAGGCTCCCAGACCACCCCGGGCCCAGGCCCCCCGACCGTGGGCAAGCCCTGG